CTCCTACGCAGACCAGGAGTGGCTGGACGCTCTCAACGCAGAACGCAAAGCGCAACAGCTGGACAAGGTGTCATATGAGACGTTTGAGATTGTCATGGACAGGCTTGAGAAGGAATGGTTCGACCTTGTGAGTTCTTCCTTCACTCGCTCGTGAAACTGCAGACGAATGCCCCTGTAGACGAAGAACCTTCCCAAGCCAGACATGGCTCTACCATCCGAGGACTCCACCTGTGCTATATGCGATGACTCCGAGGGCGAGAACACGAACGCGATAGTCTTCTGCGACGGCTGTAATCTTGCGGTTCACCAAGGTATGTCTCTTCTGCAACTAATTCCTGCCCTTTCAGATGTAATCAGCGCGGCGCAGATTGTTATGGCGTCCCCTATATTCCCGAAGGTCAGTGGCTCTGCAGGAAATGTACCGTCTCTCCGGAGAATCCAGTGGTAAGCGGCCCCACGATCCTCCCCAAACAATCGTTCACCCCTGACGACACCCAGAACTGCATTCTATGTCCCAACGAAGGGGGTGCATTCAAGCAGACTGTGTCCGGAGAGTGGGTTCACCTGCTATGCGCCATCTGGATACCGGAGACTAGCGTAGCGAATGAGGTGTTCATGGAGCCAATCACTGGCGTGGAGAAGATATCGAAGCAGCGCTGGAGATTGGTTAGCAAGACATACCTATCTTCACTGATACTCAACTTAGATGTTTTAGAGGTGTTCCATATGCGATATCAAAGAAGGCGCCTGCGTACAATGTACCAAGGCGTCGTGTTTTATCGCATTCCACGCAACATGTGCCAGGAAGGAGAAGTTCCTCATGCCGATGAAAGCAACGCAAGGCTCCGAAGCTCCAACGTTAGCGTGCTACTGCGAGAAACACCTGCCGGTACGCCATCCGGTCCTTCATTTGTCTACCCACGCAGGCTCACGCCTCGACAACAGCGCGAGCAGCAGGAGGTCCGTGCTACGATGCGTCGAAACGACCCGTACGACGGCGCAGACGGCGACAATATCCACCCAAGCCCCAAGTCTAACAAGACTATGCGCGCATACAACAAGCAATACAAGCCAGGTCCGCCTCTTGTCCCGAAGATCATTGTCAATCGCATTATCCAATACATATCCAAGATACATCTCCGTCACAAGCCCGAATTTGTGCATCTTGTTTGTAGGTACTGGAGCTTGAAGCGGGAAGCCAGGCGGGGCGCCCCTCTGTTGAAGCGTCTGCACCTTGAGCCTTGGACCGCTCTATCGGGGAGCAAGCAACAGACGGACGAGGAGAAGGCATTGAAGCTCGATGTGAGTTTCCACGCGCGTTTCTAGTCTGCAACTAACTTACGCCTGCTCCATATCTAGCATATGAAGCGTTTGCGATTGGATCTCGAGAAGTTGCGGATTATCGCAGATGTCGTTCAGCGGCGCGAGCGTTCAAAGCGCGATCAGGCTGACGTTGTTCAGCGCGTTCTCGAAAGCTTCTTCTTTCCACATGAGGGACACCTTAGGTTGGCTTTCGAGCATATCACCTTGTACGTGGATCATTTGTACCTTATCGCAGATCCACACTCACGCGGCGCATAGTATGGATCGCCAAGGGTACTTCAAGTCACCTGTCAGCAAGGCAGACGTCCCCGACTACTACGACATCATCGAGCATCCGATGTGCTGGGATATGATCGATCAGAAGCTGGACAGACACGAATACCTCGACCTCGCTGAGTTCAAGGTATGTAAGCAGGTTATTAGCTCGCTCACGCGTTCTCACTGCTACATATCGCAGCGCGATATCAATCTCGTGTTGAGTAATGCTATGACGTATAATCAAGCCAACACTCCATTCTACAAGACAGCCTCTCGGATACAAGACGCCGCGCGGACAGAACTCGCCAAACTCGACCAATACGTGCGTCAAACCCCCATTGCCCAACCCCATCCTCTGCCGCTTGCGGATGCAGAGGCTGTAGAAGAGAAGCCGCAAATGGACACCGACCGCCTCGAACCGGAGTCAAACGACGTTTCTCTTCCTCCCATAGGCGACCTCGAGCCACCTCTCGACATGCTAGACCTGCTCGTCTCCGAAGAGCGCATCCGGCCCGACACCGACATCATCCTCACCTCCGCCCCGATAAACTCCCTGCTCAACTTCGAGCTGCCGCTCATCCGCCCGCCCGCGCCGCCTCCGCCCCCTCTCCCGCCCCCGCGCCAGAAGTTCCAGAAGGCGCAGAAGCGGAAGCCAAAGTACGACCGCAAGGCCGCGCTCGAGCGCAAGAAGCAGGAGCGCAAGATGGCGCTCGACGCGTCCCCCGGTTTCCGCGCGCCCCGCACTCGGTCCGCCCTCGCGGCCGCCGCGGCGTTTGAGGCGGAGGCCACTGGCTCGGGCACGGGGACTTCGCAGACCCCGGAGGTGGAGGTCGAGCAGCCTGTCGCCGGCCCTTCGACGGCGTCCGCCACGCCTGAGAAGCCGAGGCGGTCGAGGAAGTCGACGGCCGGCCTGGCGCGTGATATCCCGCTGACTGTCGAAGACGTCGACAGCAAGCAGTCGTTCAGGATGTTTGAGAAGGGATGGATCTTGCCGGCGGAACATAGGCGGGGCGGACGGATTGCGATCGAGCGGCTGCCGCTGCCACCAAAGAAGAGGAGAAAGACATGTGAGTGGTGCGGTTGGTACGGACTGTGAGATGTGGTCGACTCACGTTTGCCTGATTTTGCAGCGCACGAGATGTCTCGCCTGTCGAACGTGAGCCCTGCTACTGCCGACGCAGCTTTGGAGGGAGAGCCTGCACAAGTTGTCGCAGAGCAGGCACCAACTACGTCCGTCGCGTCTGCGGCATCTGATGCTGGGCTATTGAAGATATCCGAACTTCCTCAGGCCGGGCCTTCCAGGACATCCGAACCTCCTCAACCCGAGCTTCCAAGTGGTTCCGAACCCCTACCAGACCATCCTCCCGTTCCATCATCCGATCCGCTCGAGTCCATGGTACAGGAAACTATCTTTCCAGACGCCGAACCCTCGCCGGCTCGTCATATCCGTTCCTCTGAACCTGTGCCCGTTTCGCCGATCGTCGTCGCACGAACAGCTTCACCTGCCGCAGACGCTGGCAATGCATCTGATGCAACAGTGGATGCGGAGGAACGACCTCATACCACGGAGGAGTCTGATCTGACAGTGGAAGAACCGGGAGCTGCGATAGTGCTCGAGCCCGCCGAGCCCTCCGAAGCTCCGAGTCCAAGAGAAGCACCGGAGCAGCCAAGTACTACGGAAGAATCAAGAACTGTCCAGGAGCCGTATGTGGAGGAGCGACGTTCTCCCACGTCCGAGCTTCCAGATGTTCCTGAGCCTTCAATGGAACAACACGCGCTGGATGTTTCAGGTCCTCCCGATGTCCAGGCGGAAGACAGCATGCCTGACGTTCGCAGAACGCCAACACCGGACGCCATGCCAGAGGGTACGGTCGATCATCAGCCAGAGACGGAGCCTCCTGCGGTCGAAGAGCCAGAGTCAGTACCAATGCCAATCGACGACCCGAAGCTTCCCGATCCCGAGGCATCACAGGAAGACGTCACCATGCTTGAGTCGGAGCCTGAGGTACTCAATGAAGTGTCGACTGAACTTATACTGTCCACTGCCCCTCCCGCTGTGACCGTCGAAGAGCCAAGTGTCGAGCCTCACCCCGCGACACCGCCAGACCCTGACCCCGGAGCACAGCTAGAGCCTCACCCTGAGCCAGAGCCAGAGCCAGAGCCTCAAGCCGAATCCGAGCCTCAACCTCAGCCCGAGTCCGAGCCAGCGCCCGAGCCCGACGAGGAAAAGGAAGACCCTGGTCCACGACGAATCATCATCATCGAAGAGCTCGACACTCCCGCCATCCGTCGCGAGAAGTACCTGCGCAAGAAGGCCGAACGTCTCGCAGCGCGCGAGCGTGCCGCCGCGGCCCTCGCTGCAGCACAGAGGGCTGCGGAGGGCGTGGACCCGATGGACATCGACTCTGATCTGACTGAATTGTCGGACCTCGACGACGAGTCTCCTCCGCCCGCTCCAGTACCGCAACCGCCAGCGCCGGTACCCGTGCCACTCGCCCAGAAGAAACCCCAGCCTGTGCTCGTGGAGCCAGGCGCTATCGTGCTGAAGCCTGGAGAAAGGCTCGAGGGAGGAACATTGGGTACGTATCCGATACTCTCATTGATCGTTCTCTTCCCTTAACTGATCACGTGTCAACGTACGCAGTCTGGGCCAAAGTTGGTGAGTACACCTTACTCGAAGCGAGTTTACGAAGTCGCACTGACACTCTTGCAGACTCGTTCCCGTGGTGGCCTGCTGTGGTGTTCGAAGGCGATGACCCGGAGATCCCGAAGAGCGTCCGCCAGCGTGCGCCCAATCGCGGCGATCCGACAAACGTGCTAGTCCGGTTCTACGAGAAGAACCACAACAACAACTGGTAGGCCCCTGTCCGTGACCAAACTGTGCTCGTGTCACTGATCTTCCCCTCCACCTCCACAGGGCTTGGGTCAAGCTTCGGAACCTCCGCTATCTTGGCGAGGATGATGGTAAGCATCGACTCTTTCGAACGTTCGCTTCACTTGCTAAATGGTCGCCTTGCAGCGCTGGATGCGCAAATGCTTGCGCCGTCGAGTAAGTACCAACGCTGGCGGAACAACAACCGCCGAACAGAGTGTCGGAACGCATACCAGTCAGTGAACTCTCACCCCTATTGTTGGTCCTGTGCACTGATGTTGCTCTCCTAGGGACGCCCTTGCGGAGATGGAGGCTGAGGACGAGGCGGCTTTGATGGAAGCTCATGGTGCCAGTGTGAACGATCAGCCAGGAAGGCTTGACCTCGTACCGGCCGCGATGGGGGCCGATAGTCCGATGACAGACGTAGAATGAGAGGTGTTTTGGACTGCGATATAACATCTTGTGGCATCGATTATTCCCAATTCCACTCTATAGTGTCTTGCGCACTTGGCATCTACTCGATGCAAAAATCAAAACAAATGGATACTGGCCAACGCCGGGGTCGAACCGACGACCTTGGCGTACCCTTTGAGCGTAACCCTCAGAGTATTAGCACCACGCTCTAACCAACTGAGCTAGTCGGCCATACGGTCAGGGCTGCAGCTGTAAAATATAGCAAGTATTGATCATACGGTTGCCGAAAGTTACACTGACAGTAATACTTCACCGGCACCATTCACCCGACACCATCTCGAGTCTCGACCACTTTCTCCACTTTGCTGCACATCTTACACATCTACAGTGTTATCTCATGCCTCCCTCAAAGAGCGCAAGGTCTGCGTCAATGAAGCAAGCCAAGCTCTCGTTTGCATCCAAGAGGACTGTGTCTTCTGCCGCGGCGGGCAAGGGAACGAAAGCCTCTACCCGCAAACAGCCCACCCGCTCTGTATCCAGCCCTGAAGCGGCCATTGTCCTCTCTGACAGTTCTGACGATGAGCTGGAGGTCCCTGCGCCGAAGAAGCGACGCCTCACTCCCTTGGAAGATATCGAGGACGACGAGAAGACCGAGCGAGAGCGGGAGCCCCTTGATCCGTCGGATAAGCGGTGGAGAAAAGCATACGGAGATGCTCGGCGAGAGATGGGCGACATTGAGCCTGGTGAGTACTCACATCTTGCTTGCCCAAGTTGTGGGGAGGTTGTGGAGGCTGACGGGCGACCTCGTGCATTAGTCCATGCAAAGGGGCAGAAGATGGTCGACCATATATTGCGAGTGTTCGATCTGTGAGTCTCACTCTTCCTATATGCGCAATCTTGCGCACCTTATACTTGCCCAGGTCCTACCAGTACGGTCCGTGTGTGGGGATCTCTCGTCTGCAACGATGGGAACGCGCGGAAGCTCTTGGTCTCAACCCTCCGCCTGAGGTGCGTCCCCCACACCCAGCCACAGTCGTGAGACTGCTCACCGTTGCTCTGCTTACCGCCTTATATGTATGCACAGGTCAAGGCAATTCTCATGACCAAGGAAGGCGATACCGACGAGCGATACACACAGTCGGTCTTCCAAGGCGAAATCTGATCATGTCGCGCTGCTTTCGATGCTCTTGATGCTCTCTCTGGACTTTGACGGTATGTGTTGTTGTAACGTAGTGCGCCATGTATCAGTACATCCAAGTACCCTATGTCTCGGCTAGTCAATGTACTTGTTGCTCGCAGTATCGTGGAGGCGCCGGCCGGTTGTCGGTTATCCGCTTTTCTCGTCCTGCGATGTATCACTGGCAGGCAGAGCACTCGTGGCGGTGAGACAGAATCATGCATGCACATCTTGTACTGACCTGTGTCCTTCACCAGAATCTTGTCCAGTCTTGAAGCTTGAAGCTAGGCTTCTGGGCCCCCTGGGCGTGGATGAAGAATCGGGCAGTCTCCGAGACAAACTTGCAGATCGTGGATGATGTCCTACTGGTCAGTACCAACTCAATCTTACTATCATTGGGGTGCGTGCGATTCTGCCATAACCCGTAACGAATCCTGACTATAACCAGGTACATGAATAGATACATCCGCGCGCAAATAGATAGAATACAGGTCCAACGGAAGCCCCCCCGGCTCACAATGTGCCTTGTCACGACCACCATCACGTCAATGTCCGAGTTCGTGGAAGCCCACTCTCGCCCCCAGTCGGGAACGATGATACATGCCCCTCATGCCTGTCACGGTCTCGCAGCGTACCAAGCCATATTCTCCGAGTTGTCCTCCTCCGGGTTGCCCCAGCCACCCCCGCTGAACCCGCTCGTCGCGACCTGCGCCATGCCCTGAGGAAACGCCATCGGGAGCGCGCTCGCATGCGTGTATCCATTCCCCGACGTGTCCCATTGTCCCATCCCGCGTCGCCAGTTCGTCAGGCCTGGTGCATTCCTGTGATAGCTCGGCTGCGAGCCGCGGGGGTGGTTCCCGCCCGCCGCAGATTGGGACTGGGGCGTCCCTGCCTGCGCGGGCCCGCGCTCGGTCACGCTGTTGTCGTGGAGGGAGATTGCGTCTGCGGCGACGCCCGCGGTGACCGGGGGAACCGCCCACTGTACCCGTGGGGCGTTCGCAGGAGGAGAGAGCGGGCCCGCGTGTAGCATCTGGAGCAAGGGAGAGTGCACGCGCGGGGAGCCGAGGGGTAGTCGGGGCAGTCGGGGAGAGCCCTGTGTTAAGCGGGCCATGGGCTGCGGCGGCGAGGCGTGGACCGGTCCCGTCGCACTCCCATTCCCGAAGAGCGACGCCCAGGGCGAAGACGCTGCAACTGCATGAGCCGCGGGCGCGGTCGAGACTTGCGGCAGCGCCTGCACCGCGGCCGCCAATCTGGTGTGCTGGGTGGCGGCTTCATGCAGCCAGGGATGCGACATCGCCGATGAGCACGACATCCGTTGGTTCGGGTTCTTGGCCAGGAGACGTCGGAGGAAATCGCGACCTGCGGGGAACGATGTGAGTTGTTCGTCTAGTAGAATCGCTGTCGACGTACATTCGGGGCTCACTTCGGGGCCCTCCAGGAGCGACATGCCAATTATCTCTTTTGTTACTCCCCACAGCCTGCGCACGAGGTAAGGACCATATGAGACGACGTCGCAACGGAGAACGGGCGCGGACTCACATCTCCGTGACTGTCACACCGAGACTGAAGCTCTCTGCGAGTGCGTTGTAACCTGGCCCGAAGGTACCCAACTTGACTTCTGGCGCCATGAACTTGGCTGTGCCGCATGCCGTCTGTCAACGAATGCCGTTAGCGTTTTCCATGACGTCGGACGAGGCGAGCTCACTCACTACAAGCTGCACATCCGGAAGCATCGCTTTCGCGAGACCAAAGTCGGCCAATTTGATGAACAGGACGTTCTCCGTGCCGGGACCACTGGTAGTCAATAGGATGTTCGCCGGCTTCAAATCGCGATGGACGAATCCATGGATGTGAAGAAACTTGGGGTAATGGTCAGCTTGTGAACACTGCCATGTATTGATTGGGAGGGAACCCACCGAGAGCGCATCGCATATCTGGTACGTGATAGATTGTGCCAGCTCGATACCTATGAGCGGGTTAGCGTCGCCGGCTACATGTGCGTCGAAAGGGTGGCTCATTACGGAGAGGTCCATGGTTTAGCAGATATTGCCTTAGATCTCCTCCTGGCATGTATTCCATAACAACACCTGCGTGACCCTGTTGAGAACGGATACAATATGAACTTCGATCGCAACTAACCTAATGTCGTTTCATCTTCCGATTTCACTACGTCCTCAATTTTGATGATGTGCTTGTGTTCTATCGTCGAGAGGACCCGGACCTCCTGCTCGAGGGACATCATTGCATCACGATAATCGGTGTCTTCCTGGGCCCTCCCCTTCCCTTGCCTCTCGGCATAGTCTTTGACTGCGCGCTTGGCGATCAACTTGATTGCACACCACTTCTCACTTCGGATATTCCACGCCTTGTATACAATCCCGTAGCCGCCTTGTCCGAGGACTGTATGGAGTTCGTACAATTTGCCATACATGCTAGGCAATGGCAGGCTCTCCTGTCGGATGCTCTTGGTGCGCTGAGCCTTCTTTGTGAAGTCCAGGAATTCGAGCTCTATAGATGCCAAGTCAACGCAGTAAGGGGACGGAGCCTGGGCCACGTGGAGTCTGAAAAGTCTGAGAGCACTCACTGTCGTCCTTGAAGGGCCTGTTGTTATTAGCGTACGCCTCGGGCTTCATGTTGTAAGGGCTGAACGTTATATGGTCACAGTTGTACAAGGGTGAGCTGTCGCTGTTGTAGAGCCGAATTCCCCGAACCTGCCCAGCACAACGTATAAACGAACACATACCATACCTCGAGTGGACAGTATCAGCAGGGGCGCTCACCCAGGTCCCATTGCGCGACCCTAGATCGGTGATCGTGATCTTGGACTGAAAACCTGTGACACCATTCCACTGGATAGAGCAATGAAGACTACCTGCACCCATCGCATGTTTACTAGGAGGAGCGACATGCAGACACAAAATTGGAGCACTCACTCATGGTTGGGATGTCGAACATACAGTGTACTATGCCCCCTGCGACCTCTCGGGGTTGCTCTGTTCCGCGACCGAGTCGGTATGTCGTGACCTCCTTTTCCATGTAGAGCATGCGTCGTTCCAAGGTAGGCGAGAGCCACGTCAACGCTCCCCAAGCGGTGGGTGGAGGACGGAAGGCAGAGTGGCGAGACGCCGCTTGAGTTTGTGATGACATACCTTTGACACTTCCAGTTAGGTATAACTCATATGGAGAAGGCATGGAGTAGGACTCACTGCTCTCATTCCTCTGCACTGCCAGCTCCATCTCGTAAGTAATCGGAGGGTGAGTAACCACTGGTAGCGGGGCAGGGGTATACTAGGGTGCTAGTAGGACACGGCAGAGCCAAAGAGTAGAGCAAATATACAGCCAAGCAAGAGGAAGAAAGATGGGTTGAATGCTAAGAGTTCAACGCAATCGCGGGCGCGACATTGCCCGTATGTTCAAGCGGAGGAAATCGGAGTTTACTGAGTTGTCCGACTCACTGGCACTGGCAGTGCCAGGCGGTGAAGTCACATGAGAACGTGGTACGCCGCCCATTGCTTCGGGCACATAGAGCCAACCGGGGAGCAACAAGAACTCCAGGAGGAAGAGCGCGTACAATATGCTGCAACAGAAGTCGAGGTCAAAGAGTACTGAGCGGAAGAAGTCGAACCAGGCGAAGGACCATTTCCTGCGGACACAGCCACCAATGCTGCTGACACTGCCACGATCGGGAGGCCACGCGCCCTGATCGGAAAGCTTGTCCGACGTCATCTCGAATCAATGCATAACTTTGGCGCCAACAGACAAAGGTGCCGATTTATCACTCCATTCCGCATTTCAGCCTACATGGATCGTGTTGACGATGACTATAACAAGAACCCAGCATGAGGACACTGCTAACGCAAGCACCGCACTACAAGAAAGAGTCACTTGACCAGTTTGCGAGTCCGAGTCACTTCTGTGGAGATCCGCGCCAGATCTGGTTACATCCATCTCGGGCCAACTCATCTCTTGCCAAGAGCAAGCAGGCATGCTGAGCTGCTTTCAACTCTCCTCGACGGACTCCAGGGAAGGTGATGCATGCCCGGTCCTCTCGCCA